TGCAAAGCATATTCCACTAACATGCCCCAGTAAACTTCTTCAGCAAAACTTCGATATTGCGTTTCCGTGAGTTTGTGCACAGTGGTTCCCTCTTCCTCTCCCCTTCGTGTCACTGTGGTGAGATTGTGTGTTGCGTTTTGATAGTGAAGCGTTTGAACCGGCATTTAACGGGAAAGGTTATTGCTAATAAAGGTAAAAAAAAGAAGAGACAACAGTCAGACTTCGCCAGTTATATATGAATTCAATGTTTATTTGCCTATTCATTTTATTATTGAAACGGGCCAAGTGCTTGGAACCGAATGAAACCGTTTTCCCGCCGATCTCAATCTAATACGACGCCCTAATATCCATTTGTAACGCTGATGTATTATATTAATATAGAATTAAACTCGCAGTCTCGCTATAGCCGCTACCGTGTGACCCCGTGCGCTTTGAGTGGCGCCACCGTCGTTGTAATCAAACTGTAGTCGTTAGTTTTAAAACATTTTAAAATAATATTTCTAATGGTGATTGAACCATGAAACTTTTTATGTAGCATAATTATAACCTAAATTAGCTGAAAATAACCCTAGAACCTAGAGTAAACTCTCCCTTAAGAGTAATGGCTTGGCATAATTTTCTGTCGATATATCCTTGGTAACTTTATTCTTAGATTTAAAACTCATTTGCCAATTATCTAAATAAAGAAAATAAATATACGTTGAAACGACCTCATAAATTTGGGAGAAAATGCTCAAAGGTGTTCCTGGAGAGCTGAGTTGTCACATGTGACTGTCCATTCTCGCATGTTTATGATTAGTTTTAACAGGTTTCTTACGATATGGCGCAGCTAAATCAAGCTAGAGACGAATACGTTATTTATGAACGCGGCCGTCAATAAGTGCAATTTAATGAAATGGCATTTAATGTACTTTGGTTTTTCTAAAATAGCTTGGGTAGCACGTGCGACCGGTAGCCTACACGGTAGCCGCCCAACAGATGGCGATGTCTGATAACCCACGATACGGCGGGTATGAGCAACGGGCAGTGCAGTGGAAAGGGCGGGAAAACTTGCGTGTAACCTAGATCAAATAGCAATTAATGTCCCCACGCTTTCCGTCTCATAGGCAAAACAAACCGGCCGTTTAGGGCTACCATCTCTTCCATGAAATGACTTCTGCTATGCATAACTGCCGTGTTATAGGAGCATCTAATGCACGAGTAAAGGTGAGGCAAGACACATCACCTATGGGCTACGGCGCTTCTATGACACGTAGTGTTGATGAAACAAACCAAGACTGCACCTGGCAGTAGTGCGTCTATTGTATATGCTACAGCCTACAGATATAACAAACTATTAATGTGGTGGTTGGTGGCGTGCCTAATGTGTTGCAACTGATATAACAAACAGAATGTGAGAAGCGATACCGCCAGCAACTGATATAACAAACAGAATGTGAGAAGCGATACCGCCTGTTGTGTTGACTACCCCCATAACAAGACAAATAAGCATTGAGCTTTGTGTGCGTAATGGGAAGGGTAATACCAATTTGGCCAAAACTTTCATAATAACTACGTAGTGCAAACCTGACTTTATTACTTCGCAACAATTTTTTAACCACGTAGGCACTTAACATGTAGGCAGCAAGGTAGGCACGTAACAGACTTATGCAGAATCGCCATATAGCATATCCATTATCTGATATAACCTGTTAATCTTATATGTCCTGCAAATTGTTACTGTAAACATACACCGCTTTAACGTAGAGGGTTATTGAACGAAAAAAGTCTTGCCTGATCGTGGATAATAATTAGCTGAGCTTTACTAAAAGATATGTCCTAATAGGTATACTCCGTTGACACATCGATTTGCGATGTGTTAACACACCACCGCAAAAATGCGGGCATCAAATTTTTCAGTTAGAGTTAGTGATGCAC